AAAGCCCCCAGGAAACAAAAAAAAATTAAAATTTTCCATCCTTTTCAATATTTTTTCGATTTTTTTTTTTTTTTTTTTTTTGTTGCTTAAATTCTCTTGCTACCATTGTCTTCTGGGTGGAATTGTCTAGCTGAATGCACTAAATGAAACAGCTTAGCTGATATCATAAAACACAAATTTGGCTTCCTCAAATTTGGCTACGCAGTGTGAAGCTTTTCTGCCACATGGAATGGAAATAAAAAAGGACAGGTTAGGTGGAAGCAGATGCTGAAATGCCCGACTAAGTTTTGGGAAACAGAAACAGCCGGAGGTCGCAGGTTGTGCTGAGTTTTTCCAGACACTGGAGTCACTTCTCTACCATGTGGGCAAGTTTGACTTGCAGTAACAAGAGTGTACACACTACTTCCCCGCTGGTGCTGCTGTTTTTCTAGTTCCTCTTGAGTGTTTGACAGCTCATCGATAACATCACTGTCTCACTAATCATCCTGCATACCTCCACACTATCTGCACATGGATCTGTGTGTATGCGCATGAGTGCAAATCCAGCTCAATTGTTCTTACACAGGCTTTTTAAAGAGTTGCACCAACTTGCTAAAGCTTCTAAAATGCATACTGGCATAATTGTCTTGATTTGTGGACACGTTTCGTATTTCCAATGCCATGTTGTGACATTTGTGTACTCACAAAAAATGCCTATTGATTCACTACAGTTTCACAACCCCTAATGCAGGGCATGTTGCATGTATAAACCTTTTAAAATTATATTTAATTCTGATATAATGTTCGACATAAAACATGCTTCAAACATGGAAATGATGTGGCTGGAAAAAAAAAAAAATCCCAAGTACTTTTAATAATTTTATTTGTAAAGTATTTAGAAATGCAGCCGTAATTATGTTCATCTTGTTTTTCCAAGTAAATTCCTGGGAAAATACAATTAAATTTGTGTGAAATGACAAAAGGAATAAAAACAATTTGAGGGGTTGCCTTGTTTCTCTGTGTTCTCTGTTTGTTGCCCAGATTTTTTTACTTAAATCCATTTGCCAAATTGAGCAAATGGCATTTTCTCACTCTCATTTTTTTCTGATTGTTTTGGAAACAATATTTATGGACCTGCAGCTACTCAAAATCCCCTTGCTGTGTAATTAAAGAATCCGGAAACAAACGTTATTCTTCTTCTGTCATATTTAATGTGTGTGTTTTGAAAGACGTTAACCCCAAAAAGTGGTCTGGGCCTGTAGAGAAGGAAGAGGAATCAGCTACACAACAGCATTAGTACATAAGGTCTATACATAATATTTTAATTGCATGCCATCTCCGCAGTTTACCGTTGAGTTCACCTGTTTACTTCCACACTGAAAACCTCTTAACAGGAAAACCAAGGTCGATTCCCCTAAAAGAAAAAGAAAAAAATTGTCTGAGGTCTGAGTTTTATTTGCTTTGGGTGATGGCAGGCTGACACTTGCCATGTAATCTGTAAATTACCCTGGCTCCTGCCTAGTGGTGCTTGTGTGATAATTAAAATTTCGGCGGGTATGAGAAAGACGGATGATTAGCATGTTTTTACTTGCCTTGATGCTACTCTTTGGCAGGTTGCGATAAAAAGCTGTAGGCCCTGCTAATTTTCTCCTTTCTCCCTGTATTTTCTATGGCCTTCAACGTCCAAATTTGTAGCTGAATACACACAGGCAATTCACCGTCAATACTCAATCTTATTCTACAAAGTCAACTCTTGCTTTCTACTACAAGACAAATCTCATCTTTTCTGAAAAAAAACATACATAGTCATTTATTATAATGTTTCTATTCGAATTGTGTTTGTGCTTGTAGCTCATAAAAGTTAAATATTTTTATGCCTGATAATCTGTAATACAATGGCAAGCACAAAGAAGTCAAGAATACTCCAGAAAATACCATCATTATGTTTTAAATGCCAATTTAGGTCTTCAGCATAAAACAATATGTCCAACCAACACAAAGTAATAATAGCACATTCTAATGCTTAAGCTTGAGTTCATAAAGTCAAGGTTAACGGGTGACTTTTCCAGTGACGAGTAGGAAGGTAGGAGAAATGCTGTCTGCAAGCAGCAGCTTGGGGACCTAACAAGCCGGCATCCTAATGGTGTATTATAAAGCCAATCTATAACAATGCCAGTAAAAGAAATAAACATAATTTGAAATACTAAAATACTTGCACCATTCAGGTAGATGTTGCAGTTCCTCCTCCTGTTCTGACCAACATTCCCAGCTTGCATTGAATGTTTGGAGCACGTCCGCTAAACGTTGTCTTGAACGTCCACCGAACGTCCGGTGATTACGTTTGACAGTGGCAGCTCACACATTTCTTCAATCATCTCGTGTCACCAGAACACGTCGTATTTCAGGGTCGCACAGTGATTGTGCATATAATGAGTCCGTGTTTTATTTGTGGAGACAAAACTGCAATACATTAATGAAAGTTGCTGTCATAATGTGAAATCATAGAAACTTATGTTGCACCACTCTATCACTCCATCTGCAGTTGTAATTTATCTACAATAACACATAGTTTGACCTTAAAATGTTTCTCTAAAGTAATTCTACATGTGTGTTGGATGGAAAAGAAGTTTGCAGCTGGAGTAAAAATGTTCTTCTTATAATGTGGCTTATAAAAAACATATGATAAAAAAAAAGGAAGCATTCCTTCCTTAAACTCAGACCTCAGACATTTTTTTTTTTTTTAGAGACCTTCGTTTTCTTGTTAAGAGGATTTCATAATAAACATGAGAACCTTTATCATGTTTGGATAAAGTTCTTTCATTTATATGTCTGATCACTGGGTATATTATATTTTTAGGAATGTGAGGCCACTATATTCATATCGAAATAAAATTAATAATTTAGAGACAGGCTTCTGGATGGGGTTGTGATGTAACTTTTGTATATGAAAGTGACTTATTTGTTTTGAAGATTGTGATTTGTTTTACATTTAATGTCAAGATTTTTTGGTATTCTTGCTCCAAATGATATGTTGCCTTTAAGTGTTTCCTTTTTTTAGCCCTACACTTGAGTGCTACTTAGATTCTTTCAGGTTGCTTTGATTGGCATACCTGTATTGCCTGGCAGACTTAGCATTTTGCAGTTCTTTTTCAGCCCAGGAGAACATGATTAAGAGATTTAACCACAAAGTCCTAACGGAATTTCAGACTCATGTCCTCATTCAAGAAAGTGTAAACACATATCCCGAGTAGATGCCTTCAACCACATGGCGCTGGTGTGTATACATTTGTATGTGTGTGTGCGGTTACACGAAGCCCTGAAAGTATGGGAAGTGGTGAGGCACATGCCAAGAGGCCAACAGTATATCAACTTGGTGAAATGAAAGACTTATTAAAAGGCGTGATTTATAAGCTGCTGGGAGTTTACGGCTCTATTAGGAAAGAGGCAGGAGCTGAGCTGATGAAAACTCCAGAAGGGCAACAATAAGGGAGGACTGGGAGCAATATATTGACAGATGGAGTAGTGAGGTCTGCATTTTATCCACACTGCCCAATAAAAAAGTTTGTGTTCTGCAACGGGAAAATGTATCACAATGAAAAATCAACTTTAACTGCTGCCAGTGCCAATGATTTGCTTCTGTGAAGTGTTATTGGTTGTGAAATAATGTCAGGCAGCGGTATTTAGAAAAAAAAAAAAAAAAAAGCCAATTAAATGCAGTGCCAAAGCTAACATACCATCGTTAGGGAATTCTGGCATGTGAACTCGGGAACATTGTGGGTTAAATATCTTTCTTATATTAATGTCACTGTCAGATCTATTGCCTGTGTCTGTAAAAACAACATGTTTTCAACTAAATTGGTTTTAGTAAAGACTTATAAGCCAGAGCCTATTGATGAAACAGAATCTCAAGAGCAAGCAAATATTTTTATTTTTTTACTTTTCTAGAACCTGTAGCTGAACATACTAATACCTCCATGTCATATAAGCTTGAAAATGCATTTAAAACAAAGGTTGGGACTTTTTTTCTTAGTTACTTTCTTCATCCCCTTTGTTCTTGTTGTGGCAGTCATTCATGTTGTTCTAGCGGTTTATATTTCTGAGTTTACTTGTTGAGCCAACTTTATCATTAATACTTCTCACAACCTTGCAGCATCAGTCAGTGTTTGCTAAACCCATATGCAAAAAGTTGTCCGCTTTGCAATCAATGGAAACCCTGGCAAAGTTGTGCGGAAAGATTAGCAGCATGTTGCATAAAGAAATCAGGGTTATTAAAATATCAGAAAAAATATCTGAATCTGGGAGAAATTACATTGTAATAGATGTAATTAGTTAGGATTTTTAGGTGCTTGATATGTAAATTCTGAGAAATGAAGGTTGTCCAGTAAGATTCAATATTGGAAGCAACATTACATAATCCTACTTTAGAATGAACAACATTGGAAAACAAATTCTGCTTATTAACACAACCTGAAAATGTATTGAACAGGACAGCAAGGCACCAACAGATTCTGTGGTGGCAGAGAAATTAGTTTATCAGAGTAGTGAATTGTGAAAACTACAGTTTATCCACATAAACTATTGCAACATTCAGGAATGATTTTGAGCACACTATACACAGAAGTACCTAGAGTCTGGATAAAACTACCCCAACAGACGAGGTTAGTATACCTTAATCTTTCTGTTGAAAATTATATGACAAGAGAAAACTTATGCTGAGGTATGTAGTATAATCAGCTTGGAAGAACAAACGATAAAGAAGCAGAGTAAAGTCAGCAAGATACAAGTTCTCCGAAACTTCCTTTATGTAGGATTTAAAAGTGTAGCAAATGAGATAAGTGTTTGTAAATTTCATTTCCAATTCTGACTGCAGTTTATATACACCATTATGAACATATTTTGTTAATGTCATTCCAAACAGGCTTCATAAATGCCAGCTGTTGGCACTGAAACATTGTGTATTGTGTCTCAATGCAGTTGCAAATGTTCGTAAACACAGCTGCAAATTGAAGGCATAACTTGAAGGTGGGTGTGCTCTGACCCATGATTTCTGGCCACCAAGAGGCCTGAGGCCCTCTTCCCACAACCTTCTCTCAGTTCACATTCTTCATGATCCCCGATCTGGCCATGAAGACATTTCTGCCACTAATGCATTTGTCTGATTGTCAGTGAAATTATACACAATCTTCTGAAGTGCATTGCAGAGAAAGGGGGATTAAGGTCAAAGAGGAACTTAGAGAAATAGAGAATTGCCCTAGGATTTGACTGCAGGGACGTTTATTTTATTTTCACAAGTACACAATTGTTTTCTTAAAAAGAAATGAATCTTTGTTGAAGCTCTGATTATAACGTGAAGGGTTTTGTTAATGGATAGCTTCAATATAGTGTGTTTTCATTGCAGATGTAGTAGCAATGGAAGCATGTGAAATTAGACACTCGCTTTGGCTCTTCCCCTTTCTGCCACACATATAAATGCAGGTATATAATAATAGAAAGCTTGCCTGAGGTAGTCTAACTCTAAAGGATTGGGTATACCTTAGTGCCACAAATGTCTCGAGATAATCCTTATGCCAACAATGTCCCTTTGAAGTTTATACCTTTGCCTGAGGCACATAACATTCACTGTAGTTATATTTTAAAATCTACCTGCATTCAATGGTTGGTAGCATAAGAAGAGTCTGCAGTTCTTTTTTTTTTTCCACTACAAAGTTGCTAAACACTGGAACGGGGTTCACATTACTGCAGATGAGGTCACAATCTGTCTAGCTCCTTACTATCAGCGTGACTCATTCAAAAGAATAGTCATGTGGTAATTGGAAGGCGTCCATGGGACAAGACAACTTAACCCAAATTGCCAAACAATGTCTATTCATAAACTGAATAGGTTTAGTTTATGAATCTATTAATGTTTTGAGTGGGGGCTATATAACTTAACATATTACCGTCAGTCACGAGGAAGACGCCAAGAGTCTGGGACTCCTCAGTTTGAGACAGAAACTGACCCTGTGCTTAGAAAGTGCAGTACAGCTTTTCCCATGTCAGAACAATATCCAGGTTGAGCTACAATCAGCTACAAACTGCTGTACTGCACTCTAGAGGTGATGCCTTGAAGAGGCCAAAGGAACCACATCAACTTCAAATATCAAGTTATAACCTGAGGTTTAAAAAAACAGACACCCTCCTCTTCATGACTATACAAAAAGATCTTGTCCCTGAAAACAGAGTCACAGGTAGGGTGCAGGGCCACCGGAGTCCAATCCACACTGGGTAACCAGTTCAACTTTGTAATGAGAATCGCACTATCAAATCAATCCAGGCACCCCAATTCCGCACAGCAGCCCAGCAAAATGCTTAGAAGAAAAAAAAAAAAAGCCCAATTTTCAACACCCTGGTGTATACTTTCTAGGAGAAGCTATGAAGTGTGATCCCTTGATAGTTGGAACCACTTTCCTGCCCACTTTCTTATAAATTGGGACCACTGTTATCCATTACACAGGTGTAGTCCCAGCCTTCTAGGCAGCCAAATGGCTCCTGAAACATTTCAAATACTTCATAAACGGTCAAATACTAGGGAATGTAACATGAATCTGTTCTGTGTGGACATGTGTTTTACAGGTATGCAAATCAGCAAACCCAAAGAAAAACCACCAATTAACCCTGGGAGCACTACAGTCTTCCCTCACCGAATTAAAGGTAAGCACAAGCTCACTTTGACAAAATCTTTCTCCATTTGTTTGTTTTCCAATCAGTCTATGTTTTCATTGTTTCATTTCATTTATATGTATTTTGCATTGCTCCCTTCTTCATGACTGCCTTCTTTAGAATCACCTGGACAGGGTCATTTAGCCACAGCGCTTATTATCGCCATGTCAACCATTTTCATCATGGCTATCGCCATCGTTCTCATCATCATGTTTTATATCCTGAAGGCCAAGCCGGGTGGCCATGGTGAGTTAAGCGCAGAAACAGATTTGCACAGTTTAACATCCAAGGCTTTTGTGTTTTATGCCGTTTTGCTCTCCCTCTCCTCTCCCTCTCTGTGTGCAGCATGTTGCTCTGGCCAGGTTGTGAAAGCTGTGGAGGCTCAAACCATCAAACAGGATGACAAGAAAGATGTCCCTGGTGAGACAGGCTACACAAACATCCCCATGAATGAATGGCAGACTGTGTTTTTACTCTTATTGTTTTTCTTTTGCCTTGATCGGAAGTCTTCAGTTGTAAAAAAAAAAAAAAAAAAAAAAACTTGTCTACATGAAAACTTCTATTGTGGTTATAAACCTCATCCTGGCTTTTATTATCCTTTGCCATACTTACATGAAAAAAAGAGTAATCCTATTATATACAAGTGTTCATAATTTTAACCTTTTCCACATTTTTGCCCACAATTTTGATCTGCTTTCATGTGTTTTCTAAAAGTACCTTTCATTGATTTGACTGACAGAATCGTCATTTCATTGTTTTTAATATGAGCACATGTTAATTTGGCCGTGTTCACTCATGTAGGCGTCTTCACTAATGACATTTTATAAGTTTAACCTTTATTGGTCCATTTTGTGCATATACAAAGCCTATTATTTTCATATATTAGAAGAAAATCTAAAGGGCAATCCACCCATCAAACACTTTCCAATGTTAGTTAACATAATTTATATAATTAAAAATTATGTTAACTAACATGGGAAACTGTAAAATTTTACAGTTTGTTAAATTTGAGACAAAATCAAATGTCTAAAAGTCTAAATTCAAAAATAATTAAAATTCAATTCAATTTAACTTTAAAAGAATGTAAAAAATATAATTTTTTTTTAGACTTTAAAAGATCTTAATGCTATGTGCAGCTATAATATATTCACTTCTTTTTGTCATTTTACAAGCAGTGTGTTTTGCCCATATGAACATGTGATCTCTTACTTGTGAGCATCTAAATTATTTTTGTGAGCCTTGATAGGAAAAAGAAAAAAACTCAGTTCATCTTTTAATATTAAATAACTGGTTGACAAGTGAAAAGTCCCCGTTTGTGGATAAAACAAGAAAAAAAGACAAGCGACAAATTTGGCGTTGATTTCCGGAAAGACCACCCATGAAATCTTTTCCTTTTAATTTTGACGTCAAGGGGTAACAGAAGAGAGTAATGACATAAAAAAGATGATATATTCTGTTCAAACTTACTACCCATTTCATTTATTGAAATCCATGAGATCACATACATCAGAAACAATTTTTGTAGTTTAAAATGCTGCACCTTCAAAATAATGAAAACTGATGTGATTTAAACACATCAGTCAGTTGAATTTAAAATATAGGAACAAGCAGAAACAAGACAAACTGTAATTAATATCATAAATCTGTTTACAAACTAATATCTGTCTTCTTTCCATGAAACAAAAGATTTTACTGAGCTGATGTACTCATGAATAATTTAGTATCTGAAAATATATTAACAAAGACCTCCGTGCTAAGCAGCTCCATTTTCTAGCACCTTCGAGATTGGCAGTGCTGCTGTTGCTAAACTAGTAAACAAAGAATCTAAACTGAGAGTCTTGCTTCAAAACAAAGACATACTTAACTGTAAGTTTGGGTTTTACACTGTTACTGAGTTAATGGCTCATTGGTAACTGCCGGACAGTAAGCCTGATGAACAAGCACAAATTTAATGACTGATCAAATCATTCAGGTAGAATTAAGCAGCAAAATAAAGCATTATTGAACACTACATCCACTAACTAAACTGCTTGACCCATGTAGTTTAAAATGCTGCATGAACTTTAGTCATTTTAATGGCTAAAGTTAAATAGCCTCCAAAATTCTTTTTCATTGTGTTTTTATTGGTGTTTTCTCTCACAATGTTTGCAAATGCCTGTGTGTGGGAATTGCACTTTTCCTTATGCATGCGTGTGTGCGTGTGTGCTGCATCCTGACAGACATGATGAGTGTATCGTGATGGAATGTGAAGTTTCCAAAGCTAAAGCCATATGTTGCTTTAGGCGCCATTTCTCCTCACAATGATGCTCTGTTCAATTTCACTCGCAGACTGACTGACTAACCACTTACATGTGGTGTGAAGGAAAACACACACACAGACACGCATGCTAATTAATGTAGCTGCAAACTTAACGCAACTCAAAAATGGAAGGGAAAAAGTAATGCGATGTTGTGGTTCGTTTCTTAGCTTTGTTATTGATGGCTAGATGTTTGTATTATTTGCAAGCATTGCTCCAAATAGCTATCTGTGTGTGTGTGTGTGTGTGTGTGTGTGTGTGTGTGTTTGTGAATGCACTTTGGTGTGTGTAAGTGGGAGCATAGCCCATTGCTGGGAGCTCTACCGGAGCTAGCTGTCATTCATGTAGACACTGACATAATCAGGCTTTGAGATGAAAGACACATACGCTTTAACTCAAACTACACACACACACACACATACCCTTTACTCCTTCTCATATCCATTCATTGGGCTGTCTGCCCCTATCAGTAGCCATTATGTCAGTGCAATTTATCATAATACTCACCTTAATCGTTTTATGCATTGATCCTGCTGATGTTTAGTGTAAAAATGGTTTAGCCTGAGGAATGAATTCTGTTTCATCTTTTAACTCATCCTAATAATTAGTTGAAGTTTAATGATGGGTGTGTTTCATTCAAAATAGTGCTACTTTTTGTTCACTAAAGTTCTTTTGTTTCTTTTTCTGCTCATAGATAATGTGGTGATTTTCTCTGAGAAAGATGAATATGACAAATTGAAAGCAGCTCCTCAGAAGACGGTGAAAAGGTGAGGAAAACATCCGACGTGCTACCATGCAGAGATTATGCCTCAGTGGTCATGTGAAATAAAAAAAAACCTGAAATCTACCAAATTAATCAAGCTTTTAACATCTTATTGGGTAAAACACACAATCAGGTACCTACTGACGGAGGATATGTTCAAATTATTATTATACCGTTGAAACCACATACTTTGATACTGTGTATAAAAAGACATATAGGTAACTTTTTTGCTGTGATATACAAAAGAACTATAAACCTTTTTTTTTCTTTTCCATAGCATGTCAACCAACAATCATGCTACAAATTCTATAGATGTATAAAGTTTTTCTATTCTGATTTTTAAAGTTCTTACATTTTTAAATACAGGTTATAGCAAATTAAACCTAAGTGCGTTTTCTGATCCTGCACATTCTAACTTACTGAGTATATCTGGATACAAAGACTCAGCACAACATAATTTATTCCAATCTGCCCATAATTAAACTGCCACAAAACCAGCCTTTGCAGTAGTTGTGTTCTTGCCCTCTGGGCATCTCTTCTTGTGTCTGCGAGTACGTACAGTATGTGTAAAATAATATGACCTGAGTTTTTTTTTTTTCTTTTTTTTTTTTTAATTAAGTAATAAAGCAGACAGGCCCAATTATGTGGCTTTAGTGCAGGCTATGAGGTAAGGCAGCACATTTGAGCCCTGAAGCATAAGAAATGCTGAGAAAAAGCGTTAGTTGTCACGGTGCACAGTGGTATTTATTCCAATCTTTACATAAAACCACCGTCAGGGGAAAGCATGTCTTCCCAGACAACAAAAGAGTGAAGGTTTTCTCTCCTTCCTCTCTGCATACCCCTCAAACCTCACGAGAGGACAATCATGCTTTATCGGCACTGGCGAGTGCACAGAGAGAAATGTTGAAACGTGAAGACTTTTTATGTCTGTATACCAATCTGTTTAATTACTCAAATGCTTTTTGTATGTATGCTTTCATTTGTTGTCTTTCAATAGTAATGGAAGAACAGCGAATTAAAGAGATGATACACACAGATACTCTACATCCATGCACATGGAACACACACACACATTTGCATCAACAGCAGTCAACAACGCATTAAAGCTGGATGCCAGAGGATGTGCTAACTCACTGCATTAGTTGCCAGAAAGGGTGTTAGATATCTGGGAAACAATGGCATCTTGTGTGTAGGTGTGTGTTTGGGAAGAAAGAGCATAGGACATGAAAACAATAGCATTCAGTGTGTATCTCTGTCAACAAGGTGCTTTTGCAAGAAAATCCAGAGGAGATGGGAAGAGAGAGGATCGTTGATAAAATTATAATATATGGGATTGTGTTGTAAAAGGCAGCGTTGTTTCAGGAACTGCTTAAAAACATCAGAAGATGTGGAAACAAGATAGCAACTTCCTGTGATTTACAGACATGTCGTAAAGGTTAGAGATGCACTGATACCCAGGCTGTTTTCTGACTGTTCAGTTTTATAAATCTCATGCTTGCTAGTGTTGATTCCAGTTCATTTTAACAACTTTAAATACTATAAACAGCTACAAAGAATAAGGCACCAGGCTTCAATCAGTACAAAAACACTGATGTGCTTTTCTTGTGACATTATTTTCAATAAGAGTTATAGACTGATTTATTATAAACTTGATTTCATAGTTAAAGTTAAAGTCAGTGATAACTATTTTATTTACGTTAACTGTGGTCTTTAGCTCAATGATATTTAGTTCAATTTAAATTTCTAAACTTGGATTTTTTTTAAAGCAAAAACAATGATTTTGCCTTTTTAACACTGATTTTGGTGCCAGTTCTGACTAAATGTTTACTTTTGTACACCTTTTCTCTAAAAATATAAAAGTTCACAAAATCAATACTCAAAATTTTATTTTTAATAAAGATTCATTCAAAATAAATAGCAGCTGGAATAAAAAGCAATTTCAGAGAGAAAAAACTGATTTATTGTCAACAGATGGTAAATCATTTATTCATTTATTATGACTAAGAGACCCCACTAGGCATCCCTTCTGTCATGATCAGTCATTATTTGTATTAGCATAGATGATATCGTACCTTGTGTAAGAGTGCAGTCATTGTTAAACAGCTTTGTGGTTGGACAGACTTTCATTACTATTTCAAACAAAGATAAAATGATAACAAATTATTTTAATCTGTCTTTATCATCTTATAGTAGCAATATGAGCTCAATTAGACTAATCGGTACAGTTAGCATTAATAACTGTAAACAGCCGTTTCAAAGGGTTGATGGAAATGGCAAAATTCATAAAAACTTCCTCAACATCCTTCACTTTTTGTTGGCGACTTGTCAAATGTTTGCTTATATATATATATAAACTGAAATATTAATAAATATAAGTATATCAAGTGTTATTTCGTTTGTGTATGCAGTGAAAATGATGCATCATCTGAGAATGAGCAGTTGTTGAGCCGCAGCATCGACAGCGACGAGGAGCCGCCGTCTGACAAGCAGGGATCTGTCGAGAGCGCGTCTCCCAACCCCAACTTGTGCCTCGTGGACCTGGGCAACAAGCCCGACCTCTCTCTGCTCTCTTTGGGACTCCTGGACCGCGGCCGCACATCCAATGGTGCCCCTATAGTTGCAGCCAGCCACACCATTAACATCCAGAGTCCCAACCACATCAACAGTGTCAACCACATTGCCTCCAGCAACCACATCAGCAGCATGAACGGGATCAACAACAATAAAACCCCAGGGGTAGGAAGACAAAGCTTTTTAAGGACTGTACTGAAGTCAGAATATGATTATGAACAGATTTATAACTTAGGATCCGTTTATAATCTCATAAAGATGTTTTTTTTTTTCTTCAATACCACACAGATGCTACAGAGTCGAAGGAAAAAGATACTAGAACTGTATGCTAGAACCTGCAATGTTACCGAGGGTAAGTCAATCAGAAGAGAAACTTTCTGCCAAGCCTTGTAATTGATGTTTTCATTGTTTTACAAGAATGAACAATGCATCATCTGAGAATGATGACCACTTTGGTGTTTTTTCCTCATATTTTGTCAGGTAGCAATTACAAAATTTTATGTTTTTTATTGAGATTTTATGTGATGGACTAAAACAAAGTTTTGCATAATGAAACTCTCAAGTGTGACGTGCCTTTGAATTCATACTCCCTGAATTATATTCTGTAGTACTGCCTTTGGTTAAAAACAAAGCTGTCTTTTAAAGAGGCAGTGTTATGTAAAAATTGACATTTTTTGGGGGGGAAATCCTTTAATCTCCTTTTTGGAGCTGCAGTTTCCACGCCTCACAGAGGAGCCTTCCCCTGCGAATCCCCCATTAAGCTCCTTCAGCAGTTAAATACCTGGTGGATCTACGCATCTGCTGAGCTCATTATACAAGCTGCTTGTCAGTGAAATTAAATGCTTCATAAAGGGACAGAGACCTAGTTTTTCAAGTTGTTAAATTACAAAAACAAATTTCTTTTAAGTCATTTTCGTATATTTAGCATTTTATGATAACTGAAGTTGACATAGTAACTTGATTGTGTTATAAAATACCACTTTGTACCTGAAAAATACATAATGCTGCCCCTTCAAAGTCTTTTGGTGGGGCAGTGTGTGGGGTAACGTGGTTGGCCCATACGCAATATCCAATGTACTAAAATACATTAAAGTGGTTTTAATGTGACAAACCACTTTTTTATTTTACGTTTGTTACTGTTTAACATGATAATCTGACATTTTATCTTTAAATCCGTGTCCTCTCCTCAGGCCTAAGCCCTACAGAGCTTCCCTTCGACTGCCTGGAGAAGGCCAGCCGCATGCTGAGTTCCTCCTACAGCAGCGAGGCGGCTGTGGTGAAGACATGGAGGCACCTGGCAGAGAGTTTCGGCCTGAAGCGTGATGAGATCGGCGGCATGAGCGACGGCCTACAGCTCTTTGAAAGAGTGAGCACGGCCGGCTACAGCATCCCCGACCTCCTCACACGGCTGGTGCAGATCGAGAGGCTGGACGCTGTAGAGTCACTGTGCGTGGATGTGCTGGGAACCAGCGAGGTGGTGGCAGTGGCTGGACGACAGAGTATCAACAGCTTCCACAGCCAGTTGGTGTGCCCGTCCCAGTGCACCTCTCCCTCCCAGCGCTGTGCCAGTGTCTGAATATTCAGGAGGTCTTTAAGTACACATTTATGCAGGGACAGCGTTTGCCCTGACAAGTAGGACATTACATACATGTGTACAAAATTACCCCATCACATGAAGAATGCCAGTGGGCGTCTTGTCCACATTTCTTTATATTTTAAGAAGCTAAACTCCAAATACCAAAAAAAAAAAAAAAAAAAAAAAAAAAAAAAAAAAAAAAAATTTTTTTTTTTTTTTTTTTTCAAAAAGGGGGGGGGGGAAAAAAAAAA